GAAGCGAGGCCCTCTTTCTTTCCTTTTCAAAGAGCTACTTCATCGAAGTGTTATTTATATTATATAACAATTAAGAACAGTCATTTTAAGTGTATGGCTTGACACATTCTGCCAGTTGTATACATTCATATAAGGATACCTACAATCAAGATAGAGAAATTACCCATCACCCTCCACTTCCAGGAGGTGACTCCATGCTTGTTTGTTTTTTGTCACTGTCAACTAGTTTAGTTCTAGGGCACTATATAAGTGGAATTGTGTGGTGCTTGGAGTCAAAAGAACTCACTAGGAGTTGGTTTTGCTTTTAAATATTACATTTCCAGAAGTTTCCATGCTTTGGCCTTTTCTTTATATGGTAGTTTTGAGTTTGAATGAGTGGAGCTCTTACTGTATGTAGATCTTCCTCTTGGCTCAGTGTGGGCAGTGTGGGCATGTGAGAGATCTGGTTGGGGAAGCCAATGACTCCTGAAATGGAGAACGAGGACACAGAAGATGGAGGCTGAATGAAGGAGCATGTGCCTTGCACAGGCTGTCAGAAAAGCCACTGAGGGCCTGTTGGAGGCGGGTAGGGACCAAGTCTGACAGGAGATTGGAGGAAGAGCCATCTTTCTAGGGTACTAGGAAAGACCTGGGAAAATATTCTTGCTGAAAGCCTTCTGTACCCCAATTTTTCTTTTTTTTTTTTTTTTGGGTCCAGTCGTGGGGCCTGAACTCAGCCTGGGTGCTGTCCCTCAGCTCTTCAGCTCAAGGCTAGCGCTCTACCACTTGAGCCACCGCGCCACTTCCGGCTTTTTTTCTTTTTGCTTATGTGGTGCTGAGGAATCGAACCCAGGGCCTCATGCATGCAAGGCAAGCGCTCTACCACTGAGCCACCTTCCCAGCCCTGTACCCTAATTTTTCTAACCTAGAAAGAGGGACTATTGCCAACTTCACAACAGACTGAGTCAGGTATAGCTCCCAACCCAGTGTTTGAGGCACAATAAATGTGAAACCCGTGGTCCCCCTCCTCTTCTGTCTCTCAGGAGACCCATACCCAGAGGTATGGTACCAGAAGTGTATTGCTTGCCTTTGACTTTCCCTCACGCTGGATACAAGGCTTCTATCTTGGTTCTTTATTTGATATTTGCAGCCACCACTGTAAAGTCATCAGACAGGTTTGTAGTAACATGCAATAATATCAACTTGGGACAAGCAAATGCCTTGTCACAGTAGAAAGAACATTACCTAAGGTCAAATTCTAGTACTGGCACACACATGCACATACACATACACACACCGTGCACACACACCACACACACACACACACACACACACACACACACACACACACACAAATCCGAAGCTCATGGTGAGTCAATCATTGTAAAGTCAGTCTGCAGGTAAAGGACAAAACTGGAATCAGCCCTAGCCTGATGCCAAAGGCTATGTCCCCCACTGTTTGGTCCTACTTGGAGGCATAGCTAAAGGCACTGTAGCTTGAAAGAACATCAGGGCTGTAGAGAACAGAGGTGGTAGCTGGAGAACTGCAAGAGAGGTATGGGATCTTCAAAGATTTGACACATCTGGGACAAGTGGGAGGAATCTGGAGCACAACAGGGGTTCAGGACTAACCTGGAAATGGCTATGAGGAGGAGGCAGGTCTCCTTTTATGTAGTCCCAGCTGCCCAGCAGTGGCATGCACTCATGCTTCTCAGGATTGTGCAGAGCTGGACACCCACATGGCTTCATTATGCAGGTCATGTCATTGTGGACAGAATCTGTGATTAAATTCATTTGGCCATGAAGCTGTACCACTCTCCACCACCTTTCGTACCTGGTAAGACCTCCAGTCTTCAGCAGTGAAGTGCTGCCACCCTGGGTAGCTTCTCAGAGCCTGTTCTCCTGGCTGAGTGGGGCTTGGCCAGGGCACTGTGACCATCTGCTCAGGCTGCGAAGCTCTTTGTTGCTTGTGGCATGTTTAATAGCTTAATTTCTATTTTTCTCTTGGGAAATACAGCTCACCAGCATTGAGGCAGCAGTGGGTGCTCAAATAGTTTCTGATCGCTATCTTGAATGTTAATATCCTAAATGCATTTTATCGTCAATGACCTGTCCTCTCTGCCATGGGTTTCTCACTCCCCCTTTGCATGCAAAACTAGGCTCCCCGCCTGCCTTCTGATAGGCTTCACCACCCCATCTCATTCCTTTGCTCTCTTCCTCCTTGCTTTTCCCAGATAGCATTGTGCTTCGCCAATAAACTCCACAGTTCGTGGGAAATCTTTGACTTGGAGGATGTGAGAAAGTGTTTCATTTTGCTGGAGGATTTTTAGTGGGGATGATCTAATCTCTAAGAAACATACATTATTTAAATTCCATGCTTTGGGGCAGAAGGGCCCCTGATAATTTTGAACTTTGGCAGGGACAGAAATCTGGTTTGGCTCTGTTTAGGAGAGTCACTTGCTGTTTTTCCTGTTGTAAATCAGTACAGGCGCTAGGTCAGTATTAGAGGGGAAAGTTTTGAGCATCTTTTCTTAACCTGTAAACTTAAAACTGTGGATTCTTAAGGTGAAAGGGATGAGAACAATCACCACGAGTTTGGTAATTGTTTCTCTTCTGGATCCCAGGGTCGAGTGAGCAGTTCTGTTCACCGCACTCATTCACCTCCTCTCTGGGGTATCTGGACTCTCCTCAGTGGCCTCATCCATGGGGCATGGAAGAAGAGGAAAGCTGGAAGAAAGCAGTAAACTCCTAACAAAAGGCTGAGTCTGGCAATGCAGTGGGATTGTGGAAGTGTGGACTCTGGGAAGGGTGACCTAGAAACATCCATTCAAATTGAGTTTCACTGCCTCAAGAGCACTCCTTGACTTCCCTTTGATTCAAATGACACTTTAATATAGACCATGGGCCTGCCTTTCTCCAAAGATGGAGGTTTGGAGAGATGAATGATGCAGAATAGACTCTGCAGTCCTGCGCATAGAGCCTTTTCCCCCACCTCCCTCAGTATATATTCATTGTTTCCTGACCAACAGATGGTGAGCTGAGGATACAAATACGGACATCATACATTTTATCTAGCAGGAAAGATAGCTGGATAGACAATGTGTCACGGTTTAATAGAGCCTTGATTAGGACATGTCTGATAAACTGTGAGAGCACAGATAAGGGCGTAATGAATTCCGAGTACGTTTGGAAATGCTGGAGAGAAAAAGTGATAATTGACCTTGACCTTGAAGGAGCAGGGGGTGTCCACCAGCCTGCCTCTTTCTAAGTATGACTTGCTAAATGAATGCTTGCTCTTTGCTGGGGACAAATGGAAAATGAAAAGGAGGAGATTGTGGTACCTGCCCTCAAGAAACGCACAGCTTGTTGGGAAGAGAGCCTGGCACTTGTGAACCAATTACAGCTCTACGTAGACAGATGGGATTGTGGAGGCTGAAAAGGCCTCTACAAGGAAAGCGGGTAAGGGGACTTTATGATCCAGGGTTTCCGGAGTTACTACTCTTTCTTCTGGATAATACATACAGTTTCTGTTAGGAGAGTTCAGACCTTGCAAAGATGTCTTCACTGTAAAAATGCCCGTCCCCCTCTGGTTGTCTCCCGACCCCCCCCCTCCCCCGCCCCAACACACACTTTGTAGTTTCACCAGCTTGATTCTGTGTAGCAATAGTTAGCTGGATTTGAGGGGAGGTAGCTTGAGAAGGTCAGTGATGAGCATTGAACAGTATTGATGATCTTATTACTGCCCTGTAGAAAATGGAGTTTGCAGAACACCTGTACCTTCAAGACACAACCTGAGCACAGGGGTCCCTCAATCTTCGAGAGGCACTATATACATTCCAAATCTCTGATTAGGTTGTTTCTTCCATCTGGAATGTCTTTCCTTTCTTGCCCAAGACTGCTTTTCTGCACTGGCTACAGGTTCCTCTGATAGGTGATCAGTAATTGTCTGTTGGTTACCATTAAGTGGGGATTCAGCACTGTTTTTTTTTTTTTTTTAACTTTTTGATAAGATTATAAACATGGTGAGAGCAAGAACATCTTTTATTTTGTTCATGTCTCTGGAAGCAGCAGAATATAGAACATGAGTTCTTTGGACAATCTTGACATCGAATCTCAGCATTCCCATTTACCTTGGAACTCTGAGCATCGTTTCTTTATCTAGAAATTGGGACCACACAGTACTTTTCAACTTGTACACTACTTGTGGGAACTGTCCTTTGCACTGTAGGATGTTTCACGGCTCCCTGGTTCCTACCCTTTAAACACCAGTTGTGACATGGTCTCCACAGTTAAGGCAATTAAAAACCTACCAAAACCTGGTATTAGTAGCTCACACCTATAATCCTAGCTTCTCATGAGACTGAGATCTGAGAATCATGGTTTGAAGTCAACCTGAGAAGGAAAGTCTATTAGACTCTTATCTCCAGTTAACCAGCAAAATGCCAGAAGTAGAGCTGTGGCTCAAGTGGTAGAACACTAGCCTTGAGATTAAAAAGGTAAGGGACAGGGCTGGGAATGTGGCTTAGTGGTAGAGTGCTTGCCTAGCATGCGTGAAGCCCTGGGTTCAATGTCTCAGCACCACATAAACAGAAAAAGCCGGAAGTGACACTGTGGCTTAAGTGCTAGTCTTGAGCAAAAGAAGATCAGGGACAGTGCCCAGGCTCTGAGTTCAAGCCTCAGCACTGACACCCACCCACCCACCCCCACACACAAACAAATAATGTCTCCAGAGGTTTTTCAAATGTCACATGTGGAGCAGAATTAGTTCCCACTGAGAACCTTCCTCACTACCTTTCAGTGTGCATCAGACTTCTCAGTACTGTAATTCAGTACACAGGATGCATCCAGTCGATGTTGGAATGCCTTCATTTTCATCTCATCTAGCACTTGACAAATTGTGAGCTGATGAATCTCATGGAGTTGTGACTTTAGGTTTTAGCAGCTTGGGATGGAACTGTGTGGAACTCTCCAGTTGCCCACACAATACACTAACAGAGTCACTGTCATTTTCTTAATTGCAGATTGATCTGGAGCCAGAAGGAAAAGTGTATGTGATCATCGATCTCTCGGGTTCATCAGGTGAAGGTAGGAGAGCGTGACCTCTCATCTTTTTGTCCTGGATTGCTCCCTTCCTTGCTCAGCTGGAACATATCACTGTGATATTTAATTAATTGGCACACTTTAAAGGGGAAGGTTATTTTGAAGACACTCTGCCTGTATACCAAAAGGGACTAGCCATCTGTTAGTAGTGGAGCAGAGGGAAGATTTCTGACTTACCAAAGAAAGGCCAGTAAAACAGGCGTTTCCACATACCATGTGCAGGGCAGGTTTGGCCAAGAGACAGCCTCTCCCAGGAGGCTTGTGTGGGGTTTGTGTCTCTGCTCTGAGGAGGAAGTAAAACCAGTTGGTCTAACAGTTTTCAGAAACAAAACAAATAAGGTGTCAAACTTCAGAATCTTCGTTAGAGCATTTTTAGACTCTTTTGCCAGTTCTTTACATAGCAAAAGCCCTGTTATTAAAGAGAAAGAATGGAAGAAGGGAACACTGCTCTCCACTGGTTGATTACACAGTGTGGATTTTCTCTGATAGTTGGATTCTCCTTCTATCTTCTTTTTACAGCAGCCTCTTTTGATTTTTTTTTTCTGTGCTCATTTAATTCCTTTTAAGGTTTTGTGCTGAGTAGTGAAGACTGAACAATCAGGGAAGAAAGAGAGGCTAGAAAAGAAAGCCATGTTCATACAGAAACAAGGTGATCATGGAAGGCCTTAAATGTTTGACAAGCAGACATATAACCACTGAACCATCTTTCCTTTCCTTCTTCTCTGTCTGTGGGCAAGAGACTAAAAGAGTTGGTTTTAATGGCATAGTAGAGACATTGGGAAACCAGAGCTAGTTCTTCTTGGCAATGTAAAAGGGTGGTGTTTGGGCCAGGCATGAGTGGCTCATCATGCCTGTAATCTTAGCTACCCAGAAGGCTGAGATCTGCTGGTCAGGGTTCAAAGCCAGTCTGTATAGGATAGTCCTCAAGATTCTTTATTCCCAGAAAGTAGAGCCTTAGCTCAAGTGGAAGAGTGCCAGCCTTGAGTGAAAAACCTAAAGACAGCACCAAGGCCCTGAGTTCAAGAGCCAGTACACATACACACTGATGTTTGGGAGCTACATCCCTAAGGAAAAGATGGACCACATACCCTTTCAGTTCTGTTAGGTACATTCTCAGGCATTCACATTGTCTGCCCAAAATACTGAGAATCACAAGCACAAAGTCAAATCCTACGCACAGCCTCTGGCTGATGGTTCTTTGAAAGGAAGAAAGATGATAAGTACAGAAATTCAAAGGAGCTGGTCAAATGACACACTTGATAATGGTGCCTGATCATTCTCACTCAGCTCATTTATCATCCAGTCTCCTCAGGTGTTCAGGAGTATTCAGTAATTGTGTGCATATGGGGATCAAAGTAGAATTCAGTCCTTCATGAGATCTCAGTGATTTGTCAGAGGTTTAAAGCTTTAAATCCCTTTCAGAATTGGTTGCTTACACTTTCTGCTCTTTATTGAAATTGCAGTTTGGTATTTCCAACTTCCCTTCTATGCAGTCAGCCCAGGAATAGAATCTGTGGCAGAATGTTTGAGGATTTAACAATATTTTGCATGAAATATTAAAAACCTACAAAAGGGACCAAAGAAAAGTACCAGTGCACCCACCACCCAGATCAAGAACTAAATCAACCTACACAGTTCCAATGGTACATGCCAGTAGTCCCATCTAGTTGTAGTCTACCTGACACAGGAAGATTGCTTGAGCCCAGGAGTTTGAAGCAACATAGCAAGACTCTGTCTCAGACAGCAACAACAAAACAACAAACCAAAACAACAATAAAAAATCCCAACCATAAAGCAAACAGAAAGGTGAAGCCTTGTACTTTTGTTGTTGTTGTTGGTCGTGGGGCTTGAGCTCTGGGCCTAGACACTGTCCCTCAGTTCTTCAGCTCAAAGCTAGCACCCTACCACTTGAGACCCAGTGCGACTTCTGGTTTTCTGGTGGTTTATTGGAGATAAGAGTCTCTCACGGACTTTCCTGCCGGGGCTGGCTTTGAACTGAGATCCTCAGATCTCAGCCTCCTGAGTAGCCACTGGCGCCTGGCTTAAGCCTTGTACTTTTAATATTCTTAATGTGGTATGGGCTCCAAATTCACCAGACTTAAGGTTAACAGTGACGTCTGAAACATTTGCTAGGCAAAAATCAATTCCATTTTTACTTCCATAATCTTAATTAAATATGTATTTCTGTTGCCAAGATTCTGGGTTACCCGTGGCAGACTTGGATTATTTTCCTTTTCCTCAAAAAGATTAATGACGTGCAAAATTATAGAAGACATATATATTTTTTTAACCTTAGAGGAAAAAGAGATGGGCAGTGAATGAATGAATAAATCAGAAGCAATTGATTTTTTTAATCCTTTTTGCTTGTATCATTTATTGCATGTGAGTAGCCAAAGCAATTTTCATTGGGTTAAATTCTGAGTCTTTTAAAAAAAATCTCTTTCATCTGAAGAAAATAGAGTTTACTTTAGAAACGCTGTTACATGCCAGGATCTGAAAAGTGTTAGCATGTGTTGCTCTGGAGAAAAGAAGACATTTTTCTACTCTTTTTTTTCCTCCTCCCCCTCCTCCTCCTGCTCCTCCCCCCCCTCCTCCTCCTCCTGCTCCTTCTCCTCCTCCTCCTCTCGCTCCTCCTCCTCCTCCCCTCCTCCCGCTCCTCCTCCTCCTCCTCCCCTCCTCCCGCTCCTCCTCCTCCTCCCCCTCCTCCTCCTCCTCCTCCCTCTCCTCCCGCTCCTCCTCCTCCTCCCCCTCCTCCTCCCTCTCTTCCTCCTCCTCCTCCCCCTCCTCCTCCCTCTCTTCCTCCTCCTCCTCCCCCTCCTCCTCCTCCCCCTCCTCCCCCTCCTGCTCCTCCTCCTCCTCCTCCTGCTCCTCCTCCTCCCCCTCCTCCTCCCCCTCCTCCCCCTCCTGCTCCTCCTCCTCCTCCTCCTGCTCCTCCTCCTCCCCCTCCTCCTCCTCCTCCTCCCCCTCCTCCCCCTCCTGCTCCTCCTCCTCCTCCTCCTGCTCCTCCTCCTCCCCCTCCTCCTCCTCCTCCTCCCCCTCCTCCCACTCCTCCTCCTCCTCCTCCTCCCCCTCCTCCTCCTCCTGCTCCTCCTCCTCCTCCTCCCCCTCCTCCTCCCTCTCTTCCTCCTCCTCCTCCCCCTCCTCCTCCTCCTCCTCCCCCTCCTGCTCCTCCTCCTCCTCCTCCTGCTCCTCCTCCTCCTCCTCCTCCTCGTCCTTTCTGTTCTTTGACTTGGGATGCTTTCTGTGGGTGGAGGGTATGATAGTCCCTTCCTCCAAGCTTATTCTTGTTGTGATCCCTTTATGTCGTACCCATCTGTTCTCCTAGGTCTATGGCTTAAACTATGAAGGCTCCTGGTCTGGAGATGGTTTGGATTTTGGTAGGAGTTGGGAGGGGGAAGAGAGGATCAAGAGAATAAGAGACTATAACATTCAATTCCTAGACCATGAGAAGTGAACAGTGGTTGTTTCAGTCATGCTGTTTGATTTATGGACTGTGGACATGTGCAGATTCTTGCCAAAGTCCCTTGCTTGAGTAAAATAACTACACGTGTTCTGTGGAAGGGTGAAAAGAGAGTTGAAATGAGGCATAGCTAAAGTCTTACCACTCTATTATTCTGCCACCAAACATCCCTTTTCCGAGCTCCAGCTCCTCCCATCTCCAATGCTCCAGCCCATCAATGAAAAAAAAATGTATTTGTAGAAAATGCATAAACTTTCTAGCACATGTAAATTCCAAAGAGCTCAGAGAAGTGTGTGTGTGTGTGTGTGTGTGTGTGTGTGTGTGTGTGTGTGTGTGAATATACCCCTTCTTCTAGGATGTGCCACAGGATTCTTTTTCTTGCTCACATGTTGTTAGAAAACCTGGCTGGATAATGTGATTTCTAACTGTCTAATAAAATTCCACTGCTTGCATGCCCTGTGCAGCTGGCCGTAATAGGATTTGACTGCTGTGTGTTTTAGCTAATCCAGGGAACCTAACCCTAGAAGTAGAGGGTCAGCTTGGTTGATAGTTAAGGTCATTTCTGGTCATGTGATTTTTTTTAATCCTTTGGTATAATTTAAGTAGACACCTGTCAGAGTTCATGGCTAAGGGAGAGCTAATATCCACAGCAGGGAGAAGGGGTTGAAAGAAGTAGACTTTGGGGGACAGGTATGGTTTTAGACACTTTATCCCAAGAGTGGACTTATTCATAGAATTGTCTTGTGAAAACCTCCAGAGTCAGGTTGCTTCTTATTTTGTGGAATTCATCATAGCTTCCTAGCAAGCATGGAGCTATAGGTTCATCAGGCACTTAAGGCAAAGCATAGGCACCCCAGATAACAGAAGCATAAGCAACAATGTAATTCTCAAAGGTGTAAAATGATTGTTTCTCACTGATTCATTAGTTAGTATTTCTTTCTTTGTTGATATTTGTATATGATTTCTTATTCTTTATCGTTACAGAGCAGTGCACCATTAGTAACAGGCCACTGAGTGAGGGTCAGGATGTGACCTCAGACTAACAGGCTCTTTTGGCCTTCTTCCAGGTGTGGTGCTTATTGAGAAGAGTTCTTCAATAGAACTAGTATGAAGTAGGCCTCACTGGGATGTTTGGTTCACCAAGCTATTTCTCTGATAGCATATGGAGAATGTAATTGAATTAAAATGATTTTGGCAGTACATGAATCACAAGTAATACAGCTAAATCAAATTCTAGACCCTATCAACCTAGATGCTCAGGAGGTAGAGATCAAGAGATTCCTAGGTCAGCTTAGCAAAAAAAAAAAGTGTGTGAGACTTCCCCAACATAACAGAAGAAATAAATGGAGTGTGCAGTCATCCCAACTACAGCAGGAAGCATAAATAGGAGGATCATGGTCAAGACTAATGACGAGCAACAAAAAAGCAAGACCCAAACTCAATGGAGATTTTAAAAAAAGTCTGGAATATAACATAAACAGTAGAGCACTTGCCTAGGAAGGGTCATGCTCTGAGTTCAATCTCC